TTGCTGTAGGTCCTCTCCTCCCAAGTAGTCATGTGTGTCCTAGAACCTTGGGAGGGAGTCCAACCGAGGAAAAGCTGATGATCTCACTTTCTGACACCATTGTGTTCTCCAGACAATCAAGAACATGATGGAGATTGAGAAGGTGAAAGGCTTCTGCCAGGTAGTGGTGGCCAGCAAAGTACGTGAAGGGCTGGCTCATCTCATCCAGTCCTGCGGCCTGGGTGGCATGAGGCATAACTCTGTGGTACTGGGCTGGCCCTACGGCTGGCGACAGAGTGAGGATCCACGTGCCTGGAAGACCTTTATTGGTATGTGAAGGGCTGGCTGTTGGGCTCGACCAAGGGGGCCAGGGTAGAGTCAAGAGGTGGCAGAAGCCAAAGGGCTACAGGCTGGTAGTCAGCAGTGTCGTCCTTCCCCAGACACTGTGCGCTGTACCACAGCCGCCCACCTGGCCCTGCTGGTCCCCAAGAACATCGCTTTCTACCCCAGCAACCATGAGCGTTACCTGGAGGGCCACATTGATGTGTGGTGGATCGTGCATGATGGTGGCATGCTCATGCTTTTGCCCTTCCTGTTGCGCCAGCATAAGGTGGGCCAGACAGTGGGCGGGAGTGGGAATGGCTGGGCTCTCAGAGGGCCGGATGTAATGGGAGCATCCCTACTCCCTGGCCACAGGTTTGGAGGAAGTGCCGAATGCGCATCTTTACAGTGGCCCAGATGGATGACAACAGCATCCAGATGAAGAAGGATCTTGCCATCTTCTTGTACCACCTCCGCCTGGAGGCAGAAGTAGAGGTGGTGGAAATGGTGAGCTGCTAGTTCCAGCCTGGCCCTGAGGATTCTGGGTGCCTTGCATCCCAGTCCTCACAGCTTCCTCTTTCCCCAGCATAACAGCGACATCTCTGCATATACCTATGAGCGCACACTGATGATGGAACAGCGGTCTCAGATGCTGCGGCAGATGAGGCTGACCAAGAATGAGCGGGAGCGAGAAGTTAGTGGGCATCTTGGTTCAAGCTGGGGGTGGGTGGCAGGGTCAGGGTTTTGGAGATACTGTGAAGTGGGGGGGGGTATCAATATGATTCACTTCAAGGCTAGATGTGGTGGCTCACACCTGTAATCACAGCTATTCAGGAGGCAGAGACAGGTCCAGACATAAGCACAAGACCTTATTCAAAAAATAACCATAGAGGCAGGGAGCCAGTGGCTCACACCTCTAATTCTAGCTACTCAGGAGGCCAAAATCTGAGGATCAAGGTTCAAAGCCAGCCCAGACAGGAAAGGTTGCGAGACTCTTATCTACAATTAACCATCAGAAAACTAGAAGTGGTGCTGTGGCTCAGAGTGCTAGCCTTGAGCAGAAAAGCTCAGGGACGGTGCCCAGGCCCTGAGTTTAAGCCCATGACCAACCAAAAAATAAATAACTAGAGCAAAAAGAGCTGAGCTGAGGCTCGGGGGGGGGGGGGGGGGGTGGCTCAAGAACATGGCATTCTACCTCACTAACCTTGACCATTACCTAGATGAGCACATTAGTATGCAGTAGATCATGCACAAAAGTGGCATGCTCAGGTGAGGTGGTCAGTGGGCATGGAAGGCCAGATATGATCAAGCCACTCCCCACTCCATGGCCACTGTGGTAGCACTTCCAAAACAAAATATGAACAAAAATAGTATCACACTAAAAAGAAAGACTCCTGAGCTCCAACTGAACCAAAGCCCATTTTCCAGGGAGGCAGAATGGTCACATAGAGCCAGCCAATTTCCCTCTTCCCGGGGTACCAAGGTGACTTCTGATTGTCCTTAGGCCCAGCTAGTCAAAGACAGGCACTCGGCCCTACGGCTGGAGAGTCTGTACTCAGATGAGGAGGACGAGTCTGCAGCAGCAACTGACAAGATCCAGATGACATGGACCCGGGACAAGTACATGACCGAACCCTGGGACCCCAGCCATGCACCTGAAAACTTCCGGGAGCTGGTGCACATGAAGCCGTGAGTGCAGCCATGTTACAAGGAGTAGGGTAGAAGCAGACAAGCTGTGCAGGTGGGTAAGGACATAGTTGTTCTTGCTAGATGGTTCCTGGTGGCCTCTGAACATCTCTATCACCTGCAGGGATCAATCTAACGTTCGGCGCATGCACACTGCTGTGAAACTTAACGAAGTCATAGTCACCCGCTCCCACGATGCCCGCCTGGTCCTACTGAACATGCCTGGCCCACCTAAGAACAGTGAGGGTGATGAGAACTGTATCCTTTGGTGGAGAGGCAGGCAGTGAGGAAGTAGGTTACTGTGAGTTCATACCAGAAGCTTCTTTTCCAGAGTGGGGGCAGGTCCCCACTCTACCCCCTTCCTGGACTGGCAGTTGCCTCCTTAACATTATGCTCTACAGACATGGAGTTCCTTGAAGTGCTGACCGAGGGCCTCGAGCGAGTGTTGTTGGTGCGTGGTGGTGGCCGTGAAGTCATCACCATCTACTCTTGAGCCTAGTGTAGTCTTGTGGCCTAGAGTAGAGGTGTCCAGGGCAACAGCCCCCACCCTACCACATACCTACTTGCCAGTTCTGCTTTGCCCAGCCTTGCCTTGGACCAGCTTTGCTAGTTCTCCCAGGAAACTGAGGCTGGGCCTGGCAATGGAAATGGATCTGAGGTTCTGTGGACTGTGGGAGGTTTGGGGACTTCCCCCAACCCCAGTAAGCTCGTCCTGGCTGAAAAAAAAAAAAGACTAGGGAGGCTGATGTGGGGTTGGAAGGTCCAGCCTAGCCCAGCACTATTTATTATATATTTATTGTTTGGATGTTACCATGAGAGAAGGAGGGGAAGGGCAGCAAGGGAGGAAGTTCAGCCCAGCCTGCCAGCAGGAAGACCTGGCTCAGACTACTGTGGGCAGGAACCCCCACTAAGCCTAGGGGAATGGAGCTGTCCGAGCTGAAGCCTGACTATTTTTCAATAAAACATTGTGTACTTCTGGGCCTCCTGCTGCCCAGCTCTGTTTTCCCTGGCGCCAAGGGGAGAGACAGAACTGAACCCAGGCCCAAAGCCGGCTCCCTGAGATTGTGCCCCTTTCCTGGCAGTGGCGATCTTTGGCCACCCCCATTGGCTGTCCTGTCCCTCCCACTGGCTCTGGGGACCTCCCACCCTGATAGCAGATAAGGCCAGCCTGGGACTGCTTCATCTGGCAGTAGGCATTGGGTTGGAATGGGGCTGCCTGGCTCCCTATGGCAGTGGATACTGCTGCTGCTGGGGCTGCTGCTCCCCCCTGCCGCCCCCTTCTGGCTCTTCAATGTGCTCTTCCCCCCGCATACCACGCCCAAGGCCGAACTCAGTAACCACACACCGCCTGTCATTCTCGGTAAGCCCCCGCCAGGTCCCTGATGCACCAGACCACACCTTGGGAGGCCTGACCCCCCAGCCCCTGATAGCAGATGTTGCCCAGGCTCTTCTGCCCTTGCATTAACCCTGATTCCACTTCCATTGGGGGAGGCCAAAGGCTTGTCCTACAGAGAAATCACCCCATCTTTTACCACACTTTTTCTGTGTTTACTACAGGAGGGTAAGGTGGGAAGGACAGGAGTGTCTGAGGTTTGGTCAGGGCATTCTAGCTGTAGTCAGTTGGAACCACACTGGGCCCTGGAACAAGCCCCTACTACTCCTTGGCCCCCCTCCCCCCACCAAGGACATGATGCCCAACCCAAGGCAGGAAAGCAGGAGAGGCTCATGAATGCCTGCCCCCTTCTCAGGCCCAGCCCCCAACCCCATACCTGTGTTTTTACCTTGGACTTTGGCGGTAATGGGAAGCCAGGCTGGATGTTTGCTTTGTGGGGGCAGGGGGTCAGTGGCCTTGGCTCCTGTAACTCCCCTGCCTGAAGGGGGCCCTTGCTTTGGGCTACTGGGGGGCAGGGGTGTGTAGGGTCTGGGATCAGGAGGAAAGTTAGTACCTGGGAGCTGAGGGTATGGAAGTTGGAGGGGTGGGGTTGGTCTGGGGGGTGAGGGGAATCCGAGGAGTCCAGAATGAGAGCCAGTGCCCACAGTGCCTGGCTGCCTGGGGAATCAGCTAGAAGCCAAGCTGGACAAGCCGGATGTAGTGAACTGGATGTGCTACCGCAAGACGGAGGACTTCTTTACCATCTGGCTGGATCTCAATATGTTTCTGCCCCTTGGGGTGGACTGCTGGATTGATAACACCAGGTATGTGCCTTGTGCTTTGCCCACCTCCCCCCCGCCCCGCCACCCCCCTTGGCTACTGATGGCTGAATGTCGTACTGTCCTCAGGGTTGTATACAATCGCAGTTCTGGACGTGTTTCCAATGCCCCTGGTGTACAGATCCGTGTCCCTGGCTTTGGCAAGACCTACTCGGTTGAGTACTTAGACAAAAACAAGCTAGCAGGTGCATGAACAGAGAACAGCTGAGGGCTCTGGGCTGTGGTGGGCTAGCAGGGCTGGCCTGTAGATGTCATGACCAGAACCCTCATGCTGCTGGCTTCCTACAGGTTACATGCACACACTGGTGCAGAATCTGGTCAACAATGGGTATGTGCGGGATGAGACAGTGCGGGCTGCCCCTTATGACTGGCGGCTGGAGCCTGGTGAGTGTCTGCTAGTCATGGTTTTGGGGTAGGGCAGGTGGCACTTGACTCCAACTTCTTTGACCCTTGCCCCACCTGCAGGCCAGCAGGAGGAGTACTACCGGAAGCTGGCGGGGCTAGTGGAGGAGATGCACGCTACCTATGGGAAGCCTGTCTTCCTCATTGGACACAGCCTTGGCTGCCTGCACTTGCTCTATTTCTTGCTGCGTCAGCCTCAGTCCTGGAAGGACCGCTTCATCGATGGTTTCATCTCTCTTGGGGCTCCTTGGGGAGGCTCTATCAAGCCCATGTTGGTCTTGGCCTCAGGTGAGAGGGCCTCTGATTATTTGTGTCCAATGGGAGGTGGGGGAAGAATGAAGCTTGATCACAGAGCTGCTATCACTTTAGTTCAGGATGGCATGCAAGGTATAGTCTACCACGCTGGGGCATACCTGCTATCATTTCCATCCTTGCCTGTAACCCTGGAAGGCTATTAGGATGGTCCCTTTTAGTCTATGTCAATGATGACAAAAGGGAAGTTATACACCCCGGCAATCTGACTCTAACCCAACTTTGTTCCTTGTTGCCTCAGGTCTTGCCCACCCAGCTTTTAGTTGCTGCTTCCAGGGGTCCCTGTACTCAGGGATCTGCTTTATTGAGGACAGATCGAGTCAGGGCTCCTGCCCTTCCCTAAGGATAGCTCCTGAGTCCCAGCACCAGCACAGCATAATTACATGCCGTGCACAGCCATGCTGCACCTTCTCCCCTACAAGTTGTGAACCTCCCTCTCCTGATAAACATTGTACCACTGGCCAGGCACTGGGGGTTCACACCTATACTCCTAACTATTCAGAAGGCTGAGATCTGAGGACTGCAGTTCAAAGCCAGCCTGGGTAAGAAAGAGTCCATGAGACTCTTATCTCCAATTAACCATCAGTAGACCAGAAATGGTGCTATAGTACAAAGTGGTAGAGTGCTAGCCGTGAGCAAAAGAGCTCAGAGACAGTGCTTAGGCCCTGAGTTCAAGCCCTCCCACCACCAACAACAAAGTTTCCAGAGATACAGCCTCACTTTATCCTGCCCCAGATTCAACCCTGTAACCTTTATGCAGCATACGGCCCATGCAGGCAGTGAGAGAGAGCAAATAAGCACACAACAAGCACCTTTTTGGATATCAGTCCTGCTCTGATCTGTGGCTTAGAGTCCAACTCTGTGAGGGAACAAGAATGTGCAGTACTTGAAGTAGAATTCAAGAGTTTTGCACATGCTAGGTAAGCACCCCTACCATTAAGCTATTCCCTGTCCCTAGGAACAAGCTTGAGCAACCCACTTACACTGGGGCAAATGGTGAGCTGAGCCCGGCTCCTTGTCCCACCATGCTCCCTGTCCATAGGTGACAACCAGGGCATTCCAATCATGTCCAGCATCAAACTGAGAGAGAAGCAGCGAATAACTACGACTTCCCCATGGATGTTTCCTGCCCACCAGGTGTGGCCTGAGGACCACGTGTTCATTTCCACACCAAGCTTCAACTATACAGGCCATGACTTCCAACGCTTCTTTGCTGATTTGCACTTTGAGGAAGGCTGGTACATGTGGCTTCAGTCACGTGACCTGCTGGCAGGCCTCCCAGCACCTGGCGTGGAAGTTTACTGTCTGTATGGTGTGGGTCTGCCCACACCCCGCACCTACATTTATGATGATGGTTTTCCCTACACGGACCCTGTGGCTATGCTCTATGAGGATGGTGATGACACCGTAGCCACACGCAGCATGGAGCTCTGTGGCTACTGGCAGGGCCGCCAACCACAGCCGGTACACCTGCTGCCCTTGAATGGGACACAGCACCTCAACATGGTCTTCAGCAACAAGACACTAGAGCACATCAATGCCATCCTTCTGGGTACTTACCGCAGTCACACTCAGGCTCCCTGAATAAACACTTTTAACTGCCATGAGCCCTGTGTGCTGTAGATTAAGAGAGGCACTACTAGGGCCCCTGTGCAAAGATTCATGTATCACCAACCACAAACCAGTGCTCAGTGGGGCCTATGGCAAGATGGGCCCTCCTAAAGCCTGAAACTGAACTGTATACACTGAGATGACTTCCCATTTTTCTGGTTGAGCTGTTCAAGGAGCTGGCCCTGTGTCTGGCTCTGTGCTGGGCACTAGGACTAGAGCCAGCTGGACTCAAAGAGCTGTAAGAGAAAAAGGATGGGATGATCTGAGCTGCTTTTCCCTGTTCTTGGAAGGGAAGGGGAGATGGCCTGTCTAGTGCTCGGTGGGTAACAGATATAAACGAGTTTAGATTCTGGGAAATGGGGGTGCTATTTGTTGGTAGCATACAAAGCCCTGGACTCAAACTCTAGTTCTAAAAGAAAAAAAATGATTTATTTTGCTGGATGTCTGTGGCTCACACCTGTATTACAAGCTACTCAGGAGGTTGAGATCTAAAGATTAGTTTGAAGCCAGCCCAGGCAGGAAAATCTGAGAGACTTTTCTCTTGGATTAAGCACTAAAAAAAAATACAAAACAGAAGTGGGGCTGGGAAGGTGGCTCAGTGGTAGAACACTTGCCTTGCATGCATGAGGCCCTGGGTTCAATTCCTCAGCACCACAAAAGCAGCTGGAAGTGGCGCTGTGGCTTAAGTGGTAGAGCGCTAGCCTTGAGCTGAAGAGCTGAGGGACAGCGCCCACGCCCAAAGTTCGGGCCCACGACTGGACCCCCCCCCCCAAAAAAAATACAAAAAAACAAGTGGAGCTATTGTAGCTCAAGTGGTAGTGCACTAGCCTTGAGTCCAAAAGCTTAGGGACAGTGCTCAGACCCTGAGTTCAAGCCCTAGGACCAGCACAGAAAAGGATTTAGAATCTTGGAAGTGATAGCTATTAATCACATCATCTCACTAATTAACACCTTGTTCTTTTTGTGTGTTATGGACTGATCCCAAGTATACTGCACATGCTAGGCAATACTGGCCTATTCTCACAGCCCCTGAGCTAATGAAGCTAAATCCTGTGAAACAAATTTTGGGAAGCAGCAAGATGCCAAGCCTTGGGGTCAGAAAGGCTTCCTAGAAGAGGTAGGACCTACACTGAGGCCAGAGGGCTCAGAAGGGAAACTTGGGTTTGAGCCCAAGAGTTGTGTGCAGATGCTAAGAGATTCCAACTAGGAAAACTGACCAGAATTCCACACTAGGAAGGGATAAGAAACCCAAGCTGCTGCACATGCTAAGCAAGCACAGTGCACTGGACCCACAGTGCCCCTCTTAGGGAGAAGATGAAAGGACTAGCGTCACTGTGGCTGAAGACTGAGCCTTAATAGTTGAGATTTCTGGCAGGAGACAAAGACAACAAGAGCAGAAATAGGAAGAATGTGGCAAGAAACAAATCAACTAGGCCAGTCACAATGCAGGCTAGCCATGGGTTTGACAGCTTTAAGGTGTTGGCAGATGAGGCAGAGCTTTGATCTATCAGGATGAAAAGTGGTCAGAATTGAACCACGTCTACATACGGGGAGGTTTGTCCTATCTCAAAAGAGGACCTAGGGAGTGGCATGGAGGGCCTGGCAAGGGACATTGCCTCACTCCAAAGCTAAGGCCAGAGATGAAAGTGAAAGAGGAAACGCAAAGCGGCCATGTTCAGGGTGGAGGCAAAAGTGAAAGCTGTTAACATTAACTAGCCTGGAAGTCCCCAGAAGCCAGGGTTTTCTGCTCCCCTTGGCCTCACTCTTCTGAAGGGCCCATAGAACCTGGGTCAAAACCTGCCCTCCTGAGATGCTTAAGCCAGTACTGGCGCCTCAAGGGGGCTTCTCCTTCGAGAACTGCCAGAGGTGAGGAGATGTGTTTTAGTCACCAGTTGCTGGTGCTTTGTTCTGGCCTTTTCCTGGGAGGCCGTGGGGGTGTGGAAGGAAGGGGTGAGTTGGGAGACTTGGGTTTCAGGCTCACCCGCGGAGACGAGGGAGGCCTGGAAACGTGGGGGAGATGCAACTGGAGCGGTACTAACTGGACAACCTCCGTTTCCAGAAATGCATCCTTGGAACGCGTCCTCCCGGGGCTCCGGGTCCCTCGTGCACGTAAGACCGGCACCACCATTGCGGGACTCGTGTTCCGAGTAAGGGGAACGGGGCTTCTGGGGAGCTAGCGGGGAAGCTGCGGGGAGAGCGGCGCGGGGGCTGAGGCAGGGCCCCTCCTCTGCAGGACGGGGTCATCCTGGGCGCGGATACGCGGGCCACTAGCGACTCGGTCGTGGCGGACAAGAACTGCGAGAAGATCCACTTCATCGCTCCCAAAATCTAGTAAGAACCCAGCTCCCCCTCGCCAGGAAGAACCTCCCGGCCCCCACGCCAGCCAGCCCGCACCCACCCACCCTCCCTTCCCCTCAGCTGCTGTGGGGCTGGAGTAGCTGCGGATGCGGAGATGACCACGCGGATGGCGGCGTCCAACATGGAGCTGCACGCGCTGTCCACTGGCCGAGAGCCTCGGGTGGCCACGGTGACCCGCATGCTACGCCAGACACTTTTCCGGTGCGGGGACGGGAAGCCTCAGAGAGGGGACGTCCATTGCTGGACGGACAGGCCTGATAGGAGGAGGGACTGGAGAAAGGGCGGGACTTCCATGGTCCTAGACCGGGAAGAGGCGGGGACAAGAGAAGTAGGCAACCGGAAGGGGTGACGTCACTGGGACGGCAAAGCCAGGGGAGGAGCGGGTCTCCGGGGGCGGGACATGGAGGCGGTCCCATCAACCCACCGTCAGGTATCAAGGCCACGTGGGCGCGTCGCTCGTCGTGGGCGGGGTAGACCCGACTGGACCGCAGCTGTACAGTGTGCATCCCCACGGCTCCTACAGCCGTCTGCCCTTCACTGCCCTGGGTGAGCTCCTCCCTTCCCCACCAACTCTGCCCCTACAAGCTTTGCTCATGTTGGTCCCCGAGCTGACCTCTTAGGTCTCTCCCGCCTGCAGGCTCCGGACAAGATGCGGCCCTCGCCGTGCTGGAAGACAGGTTCCAGCCAAACATGACGGTAAACGATCTCTGCGCCCCACTACTTGGTCTCTAAGGGGAAGCGTACCGGGAATCGGGGGGAGTGTAAAGGAACCCTAAGCCAAGTGTAGAAGTAGGGGGCGACTTGGAGGTGACCAAGTACAGACTGAGTGATGATAAAGAAGTGGGGACCCCTTAAGTACCAAAACTTGATGGCTAAGAAAAGCTTAGGGAAGAGGAAAATCCCAGTGGGGTCCTATGAGGTCTGAAGTCTGGACTTTGGAGAAGGGTGGAAGTGGGTGACTTGTTTTAGAGGTGGCTGAGGTCCAGAAACACAGTGAACCAGAGGATTGGAGTCCAAGACCAGATTAGATGGGTGGGCAGACTGCTAGAAGAGGGGCCACAATGTAGGTAACTCAGAAGTTTGCAAAGAGGGACAGTGGATGGAAGGAACCCAAAGCTTTGGAAGAGGGAAGCAGAGACCAAGGTAAGGGAATATGGAAGGGGAAAGATGAGATTGGGTGTGCATAAAGGGGAAGTAATCTAGGATTTCAGATTAATTCTCCAGAGGGAAGCCTGAGGTAACACCAGAGGGCTCATCAGACCTCACTCACACATCACCACAGATGGAGGCTGCACAGGAACTGCTGGTGGAAGCCATCACTGCAGGGATCCTGGGTGATCTGGGCTCTGGGGGTAGTGTGGATGCATGTGTGATCACCGCAGCCAGTGCCAAACTGCTGCGAACACTGAGCACACCCACAAAGCCCATGAAAAGGTGAGAAAAAAAGGGGAAGCACAAATGATGGAGCAGTAGCAGGGGCCACAAACAGGTTAGTTGCAAAAACAAGATATGCTGAACCTTTCCCTCCTCCCTCCTAGGCATGCCGGATACCACTTTGCTCCTGGAACCACTGCCGTCATGACCCAGGAAGTAAGACCATTAAACCTAGAGCTCCTGGAGGAAACTGTGCAGGCCATGGATGTGGTGTGAGTGGTCTGAAACATAAATCCAAAAACTATAAACTACTAAACAAATGGCTGTGTCATTTTTGGATCGAGCATGGTAGGCAGGAAAGCTCTATAGCTAAGGTATTTCTGTAGGGTCCCTGGCTCCCACACCTCCAGTGTAGACTAAGAAGTGTCCTTTACACTACCTCAGGCATCTAGTCCCTCCAGAACCCCAGTCTTAGCGAGTGTTGCAGGATGGAGGTGGAAAGCTTCACTGTTTTTCCTCCAAACCTTTCTTTTGATCTGACCAAACTGTACACGTTCTCCATACCACTTCACTGCCTTGCTTTTGCCCTCTACTGATGACTACTGTAAAACCCACAAGGCTCCATGGACAAACCCTACCCAGAGCTTCTCTCTGGACCATCAGTGACCCAAATAAAGCTCACATCTCAGTCAGGTCTGCCTTGGGCCTTAGGAATACAGTGATGACAGAGGGACTGTTTCCTAAACCAATAGCAAATTTTCACTGAGCAACCCTCACTCCTCCAATGCTGTGAGACACCTCAGATGACCAGACTTACCTGAGTCACTTACATAAAGCTGATCTTCATTGCACATGCCGGGCTGTGAGTAGAGAGACTTCAATGTGAGCAGAGAGATCAACATTAAGTTTCCTGGATAATAGAGATCATGGACTCATTGGGCAGAGATAACACATTATCCAAGAAGGCTTAGCTGGGTACTCTCTGAGTCTAGGTGTTGGATTTTGGGATGCACATTCTGTCTTCAAGATAGCTGGCTTCTCCCTTATCATATGGTAACACCTACGACAAAATGTATCATGGGCCTGGGGTGCTTGCGGAATGAACCATTTACTCACTGTAAATTTACCTCCCTAAGAAAAACAGTTTTAGCCATATGTGATGTCACAGACCTGTAATTCTAGCTCTCAGGTGGTAGAGGCAACAAACACACACACACACACACAAAATAATTAAAAAAAAAAAAGCTGGCTTCAAAACTGTTTTCCCACCTCTAGAGAAGGTCTCCAAGCTGCATATTCTTGGGTCTAATTGAACTTTTGTACTACCTTATTGTGAAAACATCAAACTCTAAAAGTTGAAGAAAGTTCATATTTTCACCAGACATTTTTTTTTTTTTGTCAGTCGTGGGGCTTGAACTCTGGGCCTGGGTGCTGTCCCTCAGCTCTTCAGCTCAAGGAGAGTGCTCTACCACTTGAGCCACAGCACCACTTCTGATTTTCTGGCGGTTAATTGGGGATAAGAGATTCATGGACTTTCCTGCCCAGGCTGGCTTTGAACCGTGATCCTCAGATCTCAACCTCCTAAATAGCTAGGATTATAGGCCTGAACCACCAGGCCTGAGCCCGGCTCCATCTAACCACCCATTCATTCATCTAACTTTTTATTTTACTTATTTATTTACTCATTTATTTATTTATTTTTGTCAGTCCTGGGGCTTGAACTCAGGGCCTGGGCACTGTCCCTCAGCTTCTTATGCTCAAAGCTAACACTACTACTTGAGCCACAGTGCCATTTCTGGCTTTTTCTGTATATGTGGTACTGAGGAATCGAACACAGGGCTTCATGCATGCTAGGCAAACACTCTACCACTAAGTCACATTCCTAGTCCTCACCTAATTTTTTTTCTGGGGGAAGGGGGGTCCTGTCATAGGGCCTGAACTCTGGGCCTGGGTGCTGTCCCTCAGCTCTTCAGCTCAAGGCTAGCGCTCAACCACCTGAGCCATAGCGCCACTTCCAGCTTTTTTTCTTTTTTGCTTATGTGGTGCTGAGGAATCGAACCCAGGGTCTCATGCATGCAAGGCAAGCGCTCTACCACTGAGCCACCTTCCCAGCCCCCTCACCTAATTTTTTAGACAGGTGTTTTTCTCATGGCGAAGATATTACTGGGATGTGAACTCAGGGCATCATACTGTTAGGCTAGTGTTCTGTCACTTGATCCATGCCTCTAGCCCTGTTTTTTGCTGGTTGTTTTGGAGATGAAATCTAGCAAACTTCTCTGCCCTTGAACCACAATCCAAATCTCAGCTTCCTGAATCATTAGGATCTACAGGCATGAGCCATTGCACCCAGCTTAGATTGAAGTGTCAAAGCCCTCACATCTCTGGAAAGAAGATAACCAACTCTGTTTCAACTCTACATGGGGCATTTTCTCCACCTAGAGTTCAATAAGAAATGAGCTGCTCTGTGCCCTGGTGGCTCACACTTGTAATCTTAGCTACTCAGGATGATGAGATCTGAAGATTATAGTTCAGAGTTAACTAGAGCAGACAAAACCAAGAGACTCTTACCTCCTTTAATTAACCAGCAAAGAGCAGGAGTGGAGGCCTGACAAGTGGTAGAATACCAGATGTGTGCAAAAAAAACACAAGAGTGAGACACCCTGAGTTCAAGCCCCAGGACTGACACATGCACACGCATGTGCGTGCATGTGTGTGCGCACACATGCACACACACACACACACACACACACAGCTACAAGTGGTAGAATACCAGCTAATGGGTCAAACTCAAGGCCTCTTGAGTTCAAGATTCAATATTCAGTATCATTTTTTTTTTTTAAAAAGGGGGAGCTGGGAAGGTGGCTCAGTGGTAGAGTGCTTGCCTTGCATTCAAGAGGCCCTGGGTTCGATTCCTCAGCACCACATAAGAAAAAAGCCGGAAGTGACGCTGTGGCTCAAGTGGTAGAGCTAGCCTTAAGCTGAAGAGCTGAGGGACAGCACCCACACCCAGAGTTCAGGCCCCACGACCAGACCCCCCACACACACAAAAAAAAAAGCCAGGTGTTGGTGGTTCATACCTGTAATCCTAGCTACTCAAGAGGCTGAGATATCAAAGCCAGGGCAGGCAGGAAAGTCCATGAGACTCTTATCTCCAGTAAACCACCAGAAAACCAGAAGTGGTGCTGTGGCTCAACCAGTAGAGTGCTAGTCTTGAGCTGAAGAGCTGAGGGACAGTGCCCAGGCCCAGAGTTCAAGCCCCACAACCGACAAAAAAGCTGTAGACACCAGGGCTCACTCACCTCAACCCTTAAGCCTAAAGACTCATCTTTTGATGACTGTCACCCTTCTACTTGCAACCTCAAACTAGGGTCTGCCAGACACTGAGGGCTCAGCTCATACTTGAGAATGTGAGGTCTGGAGATAAAACACATGAAGATTTCTGTCCCACCTACCCTCATGCTGATGGAAGAGAAGTCATTTCTGCGAAAACCTCTGACTCCTACTCTAAACTAATGAGGAATTCCTGAGATGTCTGTCAGGACTTTCAACCTGACAGAACCTCTGTCCCTAGCTTTCTGGAGCAGAGCTGGCCACAGCTGGACTGTCTATCAGAGCACTCTAAATTCTGAGCAACCTTTTCTAAGAATTTAGTGTCCTGTGATGGGAAGGGAAGAATGAGAGGGAAACAGGGAACAGCTCACACTAAGCAAAAAGAAAGAAATATAATCATCACCTGATGTGGAATAATTTGTATTGTCAAAGCTCATAGAATTCGCAAACTTTATAGACCACGATAATGACAATTTGCCTTGTGATGGCTAAAATGTGTTTGACTTAACTAAGTATCACTATTCCACAATACTGTGAAATATGTGAAATTTATGTAACCACCTAATCTCAATTTTAAAAAAAAAGAGAAGGGATGGGTTAGGAAGGATGGGTGACAATGTTGTCAGACACCTTGTACTCATATACTATTTTGTAGAATGGGAACTTCTTGTACAACGACTTAAAGATATAATAACAAAAAAATGTAGGGGCTGGGAAGGTGGCTCAGTGGTAGAGCACTTGCCTTGCATTCATGAGGCCCTGGGTTCGATTCCTCAGCACCACATATGCAAAAAGAAAAAAGCCAGAAGTGGCGCTGTAGCTCAAGTGGTAGAGAGCTAGCCTTGAGCTGAAGAGCTGAAGGACAGCACCCAGGCCCAGAGTTCAGGCCCCACGACTGGACCCCCCCCCCAAAAAAAAAAAATGTAAAAAATATAAAAAGAAAAAAAACAAACAAAAAAACCTGTATCCCTTTATATCCCTACAATACGAGTCTAATCCCAGCTACCAGTTTGACACTACAAATCTAATCTGTCCATATGTCCTTGGCACAAGTAGCCAATACTTGGGATATGAGGTAGTTCAGGGAGCCAATCAGAAGTAGGCTTTAGGAGGAGGAGATGAGAGCCCAACACCTGGACTTTGGGGTAAGTCCAAGCCTGGCCAAGGAAGGTCTAAGACGACTATTTGAGTGGACTGTAGGAGTGGACTGCGTCTACACAGCTGGCCTGGTCTCAGGTCTATTACGTTAGCCCAAGGACAAAGATACCCATAAATAAGGCCAGGCCCAGATCTCAGTCACAACTGCCACAATGCTACTGCTTAGCCTGACCCTTAGCCTGGTCTTCCTCAGCTCTTCCTGGGGTAAGTGAGCTACAGCTGACCAGCCTGGGACAACTCAGCTCCCAGTGCATCCAGGGACACAGAGAAGGAGCCAGCCTGTCTCGAAGGGAAGCAGGAAGACAGCATGAGTAAAGAGATGGAGGAAGAGGTAGACAGGAGCAGGCCTGAAAGGACTCAGGAGACTGAGCCATGTCAGTAGAATGTGTACTTTAGGAAGAGCCCTCTGGTTACATGTATGAACTTTTCAGGCTTGGAGGGATGGAGGACCAGAGAGACTGTCTGCGGGATCAGGAAGAAGTGGCCTGGTGATGGAGTTGGAGAACAGTAGGGACTAGGTTGGAAATGTGAGAGAATGAACAGGACTTGGGGGCTGGTTAAACAGGTAACTAAGCTAGCTGTGGAGGCCTAGAAGGCACTTAGAAGGGCTAGTGACAGCCCTTTCAATTTGGATACCTTGGGGTTACATAGCCTGGGGGAGAATTTTGGGGAAAGTGGGGAGAGGAAGGCTGGGTGATAGATCCTCACCAACTCAATGGCCAGGCTGCGGTGTTCCTGCCATCGCACCATCGCTGAACTTCAACCAGAGGATTGTCAATGGGGAGAACGCTGTGCGAGGCTCCTGGCCCTGGCAGGTCTCCCTGCAGGTACACATATTCTTGGGTTGGGGCAGAATCCTGGGTGCTTTACACTTACATGTAGCCTGAGCCTAGGCCCATCTCTGACTTCTGACTTCAGGAAAGAAATGGCTTCCATTTCTGTGGAGGGTCTCTCATCAACCAATACTGGGTAGTTACTGCTGCCCACTGCAATGTCAGGTGAGTGTTTATACTCCGTCAACCCTGCCAAGGGCAGGGCATTCATCCCACCTCTTTCTCTTGGATGCGCATCTTGCTCTGCACCCCTGACAGCTGTCCATTCCCATTCTCACTGTAGTCCTGGCCGCCACTTTGTTGTCTTGGGTGAGTATGACAGATCATCCAATGCTGAGCCTATACAGGTGCTGTCCATCTCAAAGGTGAGTGCCTGGCCGCCTGCATGAGAAGGAAGAGTGGACCACAGGTGGGCTGCTTTGGGTACAGCTGCCTCAGCACCCATGCTGGGTCCCTGTGCCTACTCCAGCCCTTTCTTGGCCCCACAGGCCATTACACACCCTAACTGGAACCCCACTACTCTGAACAATGACTTGACACTCCTGAAGCTTGCCTCACCAGCCCAATATACAACACGTGTCTCACCGGTCTGCCTTGCAGCCTCAAATGAGGCTCTGCCTGAAGGCCTCACATGTGTCACAACTGGCTGGGGCCGCATCAGTGGCACAGGTAAGACCTTGGGCCAGAGCTGGGGGATAAGGGGACAAGCATCCTGGGCCAACCTGACTACCCTTTCCTGGCCCGCAGGCAATGTGACACCAGTACGTCTGCAACAGGTGGTTCTGCCCCTGGTCACTGTGAACCGGTGCCGGCAGTATTGGGGCTCAAAAATCACCGATTCTATGATCTGCGCAGGTGCCGCAGGTGCCTCCTCATGCCAGGTGAGTAAAGGAATCCTGTCCTCTGGACTTAACCACAACACACCTTTCCAACTGACTTCTTCCCCTTTTCCCTCTCAGGGTGACTCGGGAGGCCCTCTTGTCTGCCAGAAGGGGAACAAGTGGGTGCTGATTGGTGTTGTCTCCTGGGGCACTGAAAACTGCAATGTCCAAGCACCTGCCGTGTACACTCGGGTTAGCAAGTTCAACACCTGGATCAACCAGGTCATAGCCTACAACTGAGGCCCTTCCCCATCTCAACCAAATAAAGATCCCAAGTGCTATCTACTTGTGTATTCTTGTCTGCCATTCTGGTTCAAAGGAAAAGGGACACTCTGCAGGGTTCTTTCTATCTCTAAGTTAGACTCTCCACTGGCACAGAAGGGGCTGAAGACTCAGAATCTTCAGGCTGGGGCCCCCCACTTCTCCTCCCATGAGGCAACACTGTGGTCCCACAACACAAAGCCAGGGCTACCAGAATGAATGGGCAAGCCTTCCCCAGGGAAGGCAGCCTGTTTATTGAATACAGAGGATACATTTACAAATTGAGTACACAAAATAAATAACTGCACATTTTCCATCCATGGTCCAGTCCATGGCATGAAGGCCCACTGGGCCTATCAAAGGCCCACGACACCAAACTCCTTCAGAACCAGGTCTACCTGGGCAAGAGAGGATATAAATCCTCAGGACTTCAGGCCCCTAGAGACACTTGGAGAATTAGGGGAAATTCTGAGGCCGGGAGGCATGGGTTCCCCACTGCCTCCTGCCAGGGAAGAGCGGGACAGAGGGGGGAGTATATAAGGCACAGTCAACTTGGCACTGAGTGGTCTCTTTGGTTTGATTTCCCATTGAAGGTGGCACACACAGAAAGAAGAGGACTTGGCCCAAGGCTGCCCACTGGGAGAAGCTGAGTGCAGGTCAAACTCCCCTTATTGTCCAGCTAAAGCCCAAGCTGGGCCCTGGCCCTTATCCATTTAAAGCAGCTGTAGAGGAAAGAAAGCTTGAATTCCAGCCTGGATAGTGACTGGGGGGCGGGGGGTGGGGGTTGGTGAAGACACTAGGACAGCTATGGGGACACAGTTCTGGCTCAGTCCTCTGGGAAAACAGCCCCTCCCCCATCTAATAAGGACTCTAATAAGGACCTCTTCCAGCCTGAGATTCATCAAGGCCCAAAGTAGAAGATTAATGCTGTGAAAGGAAGTGGGTACTGGATGGGCAGGGCAAGACAGCTCTCACAGCAAGGCTAGTATCCCAGGCACCCAGAATTCAGAGGCCAATTACACAGTATGGCTAAGTTCCAGAAAGAGGTGCACAGAAGCAGAGCAGAAGGCGAACTGAACAGTCCAGGACCCTTTACTAATGCAGCAACTCCTTCCTTTCCATTTTAATTTGGAGGACTGAAGCTTTGCAAGAAGGCTGTGCATACTTAAGTCTGACACTAGATGGCGCCGTCATCAAGCTGTAGAAGAGGGCAGAGCAGCACCTGAAGGGAAGGGCAATGGGCAGCGCCAAAGGATGGAATGGGGGACGGGGGTGGGGGTGGGGGGAGCTCTGCCTTGGCTCAGGTGTCCCAATCCCCCAGGTAGCAGCAGTGGGACTCCTTTTAACCTTCCCACCTCATAGTGGGGAAGGAGACTTCTGGGAAATGCAATAGGCATCCAAGGGAGAGGGCAACAGTGGGTCCTGCAAAGAAGGTACTGAGGGTTATGAGCAGGAACCCGCTTATAAACAGAGGGGTTAGAGCCTGGGACAAGCCTGTCACGCATAAGGCTAAAGTCCATGCCACAGCTCTACCACTAGAGGTCCTGGCAAGTCTTGGAGCTGGGGGGGTTCTGGTGGTACCTTGAAGGAAGACATCTTGGCTGGGGTGTGAGCACTACTTAAATTTAACCAGGGGCAAGGAGTCTAGTTTAAGTACCTGGAATCTGCATCATAGCTAAAGTCAAAATCGGACCTCTCACTGAAGCACAATTTGTGTGTGTGTGTGTGTGTGTGTGTGTGTGTGTGTGTGTGTGTGTGTGTGTGTGTGTGTTCATGTCTGTACTGAGATTTAAAATGAGGGCTCGTGCTCTTGCTCAGCTTTATCACTTATAGCTGGGCTCTACCGCTTGAGCCATGCCTCCAGTTCTGGCCTTTGCTGGTTAACTAGAAATAACAATGTCTCAGATTTGTCTTCCAGGCTGACTTTGAACTACAATCCTCAGATCTCAGCCTCCTGAGTAGCTAGGATTATAGCTGTTAGCCTTTGGCACCCAGCTGGAGCACAATCATAAGGACCAGGATGACATGGAATGTAGAGGGCTAGGAAAGAAAGTTCTGTGGAAGAAGGAGGGGAGATCTAAAAGTAACAGTCCCAAAGGTCTTAGACCCTAAGAATCCCTCCACCCAGCACTGTAGGCCACTTCGGGTTTTTTTTTGTTTTGGGGGTTTTTTTTTGGTCGGTCCTGGGGCTTGAACTCTGGGCTTGGGCGCTGTCCCTGCGCTCTTCAGCTCAAGGCGAGCGCTCTACCGCTTGAGCCACAGCGCCACTTCCGGGTTTCTAGTGGTTTACTGGAGATAAGAGTCTCACAGACTTTCCTGCCTGGGCTGGCTTTGAACTGTGATCCTCAGATCTCAGCCTCCTGAGTAGCTAGGATTACAGGCGTGAGCCACCGGCGCCCGGCTTGTAGGCTACTTTGGTCTGGGGAAAAAAGTCGAAGGATAAGGGGGTAAGTGATGATGAGGTCCTGTCCCTTCCCCCAACTCATAAGAGTACTGCCCACCAAAAAGGGGTAGCAGTGCCAGCTAAGGTTCCCAGTTAGGAGAGCGGAGGATGTCACTGTTCTCCGGGCCACCCATGGTAAGGACAGAGATTACTAAGGCACAGAGAAGGGGCTGGAGCCAGACATTCTCTTCGTACCACTAGCCATGAGGCCTACCTCCAGAGAGGGTACTGATCTCAGACGGCACAGCAGAAAGCAGCGAGGCTGAGACTGTGTCATATCTAAGTCACAGCTGGTGGTTCAGCCATTATACTGCTGTTGATAGCGCAGGTTGAGCTCCCGCAGCTCTCGCTCCCGCACACGGCGAGACTTGTTGGAGCGTGTGGAACGACTAGAACGTGTGGACTGGGCAGACTTGGTGCTTTGGCAGCGAGAGGAGGCACGCTTGAGGAGGTTCTGGGAGATGGATCTATGCAGATTCTTCATGGATGAAGAGGCTGCCATGCTCACCACCCATGGGTGCCTCAAGGCCTGTAGTGCAGTCATCCGAGCTCCAGGGTCCACTGTCAGCAGGCGGTCAATGAAGTCTTTGGCAAGGTTGGATACACTGGGCCAGGGCTGGAGGCCAAGGACAAGCATTAGAAGGAAACAGTCAACACTGGCCACCCTTCTGGATGATGCCACCACCGCAGCACTGGGACCTCCCAGCATCTTTGCACTCCCTAGAGAGAGGTTCTATCCAATCCCATGAATCCTTCTCACCCTCCCTTACCTACTCACTGCTGGCCCAGGTTACTAAGCAGGGCTACTTTGGGTAGTTTTTCAAGGAGGAAGAATGTCCACTAACCCAGGGAATGCTTCTTTTAAGCATACTGGGGCTTGAACTCAGGGCTAGGCACTGTCCCTTAGCTTTTTCGCTCAAGGCTAGTGTTTTACCACTTAAGCTACAGTCCTATTTCTGGCTTTTTGGTGGTTAACTGGAGATAAAAAGTCTCACAGACTTTCCTGCCTGGGCAGACTTTGAACTGCGATCCTTGTATTTCAGCCTCCTGAGTAGCTAGGGTTATAGGAGTGAGCCACTGGTGCCCAGTGACAGGGAACACTCTGGACCCACAGAGGTGGTTCTTAGGACCACCTATAACTCAGAGACTTTTTTTTTTTTTTGGTTGTGTGGCTTGAAAGCTGGGCCTGGAAGCCGGGTGCCGGTGGCTCACGCCTGTAATCCTAGCTACTCAGGAGGCTGAGATCTGAGGATCACGATTCAAAGCCAGCCTGGGCAGGAAAGTCCATGAAACTCTTATCTCCAATAAACCATCAGAAAACCAGAAGTGGCACTGTAGCTCAAGTGGTAGAGCGCTAGCCTTGAGCTGACGAGCTGAGGGACAATGCTCAGGCCCAGAGTTCAAGCCCCACACTGACCAAAAAAGAAAAAAAAAAAAAAAAGCTGGGCCTGGGCACTGTCTCTCAGCTCTTCAGCTCAAGGCTAGTGCTCTACCACTTAATCTACAGCGCCACTTCCGGTTTTCTGGTGGTTTATTGGAGATAAGAGTCTCACAGACTTTCTTGCCTGAGCTGGCTCTGAATCACAATCCTCAGATCTCAGCCTCCTGGGTAGCTAGGATTACAGGCGTGAGTGACTGGCGCCTGGCACTCAGAGACATTTTTAAAAAGAATGACCGACCACATCTTACTCAGATCTCAGCTTCCTGAGTAGCTAGGATTACAAGTATCAACCTGAGGATCGTGGTTCAAAGAGAGCCCAGTCAGGAAAGACTGTGAGACTCCTATCTCCAATAAACCACCAGAAGACCAGAAGTGACACCATAGCTCAACTGGTAGAGTGCTTGCCTTGAGCTGAAGAGCTAAGGAACAGCACGCAGGCCCAGAGTTCAAACCCCATGACTGACAATTAAAAAAAGAAAAAGAAAAAAAAGAATATCCATGCTGCTCTGTCCTCCTATGGTCTCCAAGGAGAGAACTGACTGGGGTACTCACTGCAGCCCCACTTGATCTGTTGTGAAAATAGCTTCAAGACAACTGAAAGCTCAGGCTGGATGACAGATTCTGCTCCTGCCCCTTGGTCTAGCCTGGCTAGATGATGCACAATTCATCTGCAGAGGTAAAACTAGATTCACAAGCTAGGAATCTGAAGCATAGATAGATCAGAGGATTTCCCCACCTCCTATCCACTATATCCAGCCAAACCATGGACCCCCCACAGCTTGGAACCAATCCAGTGCAGTCTTAGAAGGGTCTCTCGCCAGATTTTAACAGTGGGCTTTAAGCATCACTATCTCCAGAGTGGCACAAGCTCACTCTAGGCATCGACCCCTACTGCTTGTCAAGCAGCTAGCCTGTTAGTGCCAAAGCGAACCAGATTGATCTACCCCTCCTGCTCCCCAAGACGCTCGCCTCATCAATTACTGCATATGTGCAGCTGTGTGCAGAATACCAATGGACTTATTTGTCTGACGGCCAGTCCGGCCCTCTCTGGCAGGCTCCAATGTGCTACATCTTTGAAGAGCTGGGAGCAGCTGTGTGGAGGGGGCTAGGGGAGGTGTACCTAAGCCAATGTGATTCAAGTCTTCCTGACCAATGGTCCTTAGTTTAACCCTTGTATGATGAAGAACTTGCTGAGGGAAATCAAGGTGGCAACACAGGGAGGTGGTCCTCATCCAGCCTGCTGACCGTAAGGCAAGAGCTTAGGTTGATTCCAGAATTCCAGCCCCTAGAAGCCATGTCAAGGCCTCTGACAGGACTCACCCACTACCACACTTCCAGCCTCAAGTCCAAAACAGAACCTTCTAAGAGAAAGTATTCATAGTTCATCCTTCCTGCTTCCCTGAACTTAGGCCCCTGGAACCTAAGTATGTCTTGTCAGCCTATATTTGGGTGGCTTTGGAGCATTCAGGGCATGGAGGAAAAAAAAGAAGAAAAATGATAAACAACATGGCCTTTGGTTTCCACAGTTCCATCTGCTTACTTTAGGTGAAGGACAGAACTCTGACCTCAGTACATTATACTTGGGGCCAGACCAGGGACATTCATGGGCCTCAGGTGGCTGACAGATGGACGGACTCCAAATAGCAGCTGGTCAGTCTCCCAGAGGCTTCCATCTGTGTATGAACTGCCAGGAAATATTAATAAGATAGTTGGCTTTATTTCTAGACATTAAGTATTCAGCCTGCTCTGGGGTCAGAACATAGTTTCAGTACCTACACGTTCCTACCTACATTCTCCACAAATTTCTGGAGTTGTATGAGAGGGAGGTAGGGCCTGAACCAAAGTCGTGAGAAAAGTGACAGGGTCTCTGCTCTGCTCAAGTTGGCTGCCTTTCTCCAGAGTCCAAAGTCCCTAAGGATCTCCTTGTCCCTTTACAATTAGGGTACCTAACACTTGACAGTTATAAAATCAGAGAAGCCATATCAAAGAGGAGAAAGGAGCTGGGCACTGTTGGCTTGAGCCTGTAATCCTAGCTACTCAGGAGGCTGAGATCTGAGGATCATGGTTCAAAACCAGCCCAGGCAGGAAAGTCTGTGAGACTCATCTCCAATAAACCACCAGAAAATTGGAAGTGGTGCTGTAGCTCAAAGTGGTAGAGCACTAGGCTTGAGCAAAAGAGCTCAAAGACAGTGCCTAGGCCCAGAGTTTAAGCCCTATGACTGACAAAAACACAACAAAACAAAGAAGAGAAGGGATCCCTCTGATGAATATTTCACCTACCTTGCCTCCTTATCCCCTACTTCTGGTAGATCAAAACTATTCCTCAGTATTCCAGTCTAATTATCCCTTCAGAAGGAAAGACTAAAACAGAAAGGCATTCTGGCTACCCTCCTCCTTGCCCCTTCCTATTGGGTGGAAGAGTCTGTCAAGAACATTTCCTGGGGCTGGGAAGGTGGCTCAGTGGTAGAGCGCTTGCCTTGCAAGCCTGAGGCCCTGGGTTCGATTCCTCAGCACCACATAAGCAAAGAAAAAAAAGCCGGAAGTGGCACTGCGGCTCAAGCGCTAGAGCGCTAGCCTTGAGCTGAAGAGCTGAGGGACAGCGCCCAGGCCCAGAGTTCAGGCGCCACGACCGACAAAAAAAAAAAAAAAAAGAACATTTCCTAACTGTATGCTCAGGCCTGTAACCCTAGCTACCCGGAGGTTAAGATCCAAAAATAGCAGTTCAAAGCCAGCCTGGGCAAGAAAGTCTATGAGACTCTTATCTCCAATTAACTGCCCAAGAGGAGCTCAGTGATAGAGCACTAGCCCGGAGCACAAAAAGCTCAGGGACGGTGACTATGCACTGAGTCCAAGCTCCAGGACTGGCATCAAAATAGGGGGGTGGGGGAGAGAAGAGGAGAACATTTCTTGAAGCACTCAGTGATCTTACCTTGAGGCTTTTTCACTCAAGGCTTGCAATTTACTACTTGAGCCACTGCTCCACCTCTAGGTTTTTGGTGGTTAATTGGAGATAAGAATTCACAGACCATCCTGACAGAGCTGGCTTTGAACCTTGATCCTAATCTAATTTCTAAAGTTCTAGATCTAAGGACCGAAGGCTTCCCATCTTTTTTCCCCATTTCTAGGCTATATGTAAGACACGTAGCACACCATCTGACAGCTGATCTCTGATCATTTGGGCCTCCTTGTCCAGCTCATGCCTCTGGAAGGCTCTCTAGCAGGCTCTTCCACACAGAGCAGCCAGGGGAAGGAGGGAGTAATAAAGCTGAGCTGAGCAACTATGACTCAGTCCTTCCCTCTACTTTGTCTCTAGATGTATTTTTGCATTTGCAGGCCTAGTACTCCCACCCTCAAAGGCCTCCTTTCTGTACTTACGTGGGCCTGAATGAGAGCACAGAAAAGGGCACAGAAGACATTCTGGGAAACAAAGACTTGAATTTACTAAGAGAGCAGAACTTGCAGAATGACAACAAGAATAGCACACACTGATGCTGCCCACAAGGATTAAGTGTTTTGAAAAAGTTAGCAAGATTGTTGGACACTTAGTGGTAGTGGAGCCAACATGCCCTCTTCAGGTCAAGACATCATCATCCTGGTCCTCAGACCTATCAAGAGCCACACCCTTAAGCCGGGCGCTGGTGGCTCACGCCTGTAATCCTAGCTACTCAGGAGGCTGAGATCTGAGGATCGCGGTTCAAAGCCAGCCCGGGCAGGAGAGACCGTGAGACTCCTATCTCCAATAAACCACCAGAAAACCGGAAGTGGCGCTGTAGCTCAAGTGGTAGAGCGCTCGCCTTGAGCTGAAGAGCTGAGGGACAGCGCCCAGGCCCAGAGTTCAAGCCCCACGACCTACAAAAAAAAAAAAAAAAAAAATCCACACCCTTGTACCCATTATCTTGCCCATGTAATTGTAACCCCTCTGTACAGTATGTTCACAATAAAAAATTAAAAAAAAAAAAAGATCCACACCCTAAGAACTCCCCCCCACACACAGGGGTCTGGCAAAGGGTAGGCAGCAGGAAAAAGGATGTGGAAGGAAAGGGAAATTTTGTTATTTTTATTTTGAGCTAAGGTCTTACTATTTAGCCCAGGCTAACCTTGATTTGCAATCCTTAGCCTCCCACATGCTAGAATTATAGCCATGCATTACCATATATTGCTGATCTTTGTTTTTC